TGTTCACCTCCAGGAGCACAGGTTCCAGGTGAATTCCTTCGAATTCATTAGAACATATTTTTCCAGAATAACTTAAAAATACTTGAAGCAGAGGAAAGTAACTATAGTTTTAGTCATGAGAAATGGGCATCTTTCCCACACAAATGTCCCCAGTTAACTTTCAAATGCCAGTCAGTGAGGACAGAAGCCAGATACAGCGTATCTGCCCAAATGCTGCCCTCAGAGTTGCATAAGCTAAACAATATTAAGAGTTCACTAAGGTCACTAAAGAGAAAATTTCTAACAAAAAGACATGTCTAAGTCTTGTTAACCAATAAACTGCCTCAAGAGGCTGAAAAGATAGACGCTCAGCAGGCCAATGTGAATTTCATTCACTGAAGCTTCTCAGGCACAAGAAATCAAATACTTGTCAATGGTATCTACAAAACCATATCCAAGCTCAAATGAATGCTCACCTCTTTTTAGACTCCAGGAAACTAGACAAAAGTATCACTGCTTAAGATCGTAGAGATTACCCCAGGAAAAACTGTGCTGGAGGGAACCTGGCACATCTCTACTCTACCTGTACTCCCAGAGCGGGTATAAACAAGTCCTGCAAACAGACATCCACGGAGGCCACGTTGTTATTGCAGAATTTTCTTGCTTAAGAACACTAATCACTTCCTTCTCATCATTTTTGTGGAGGAGTAAATATTATGATAATGCTACTTTCAGTTTCAACCAAATGCTAGCAAACCTAAGCTGGGTTTTTAGTCTAAGTGGGAGAGAAATGGTTTAGTGCCAGGTAACAACAGTAAGATGTACTGGCCAGCCAAGAGGAAAAGCCACCCGCCCGAGCTCTCCTGCTACCAACAGGATCAAGATGTTCCTTCCAAGCCCAGTCTACACCAGCTGGTGCAGAAACCGTGTGGATTCAAGGGGTCACCAGTGTTAACTCCTCTCAATTAAGGCACCGACGTTTTTAAGTGCCCACGTACGATAAGGAGACTTACCTAGAGATGATTCACTTGCATCCTAGAGCGACCACTTCAAAGGACCCGTCACAGGCCGGCGTCCGGGCCGGCCTCCCCATGAGTCCGACACTCCTTACAGGGTTTGTGCTTTTTGGAGGAACAGTCTCCCCCGCCCCAGACTGGAGGGCTGAATAGGGGCCAAAAGTGATTCAGCACCTCCGCACGAGCGAACGCGCCCTCGCGGGACCAGGTGTGAGGCACCCCAGGCCCGGCTCTCAGCTCCCGCTGTCCTCGGCCTTCCCCAGAAACCCTGGCCCGTCAGTCGCCGCCTCAGTCCTCAGCCCCACGATCCCTCGGCCCAGTCCCCGGTCCCTCACCCTCGGCCCTGCGACCCCTCAGCCTGGACAGTCGCCTGGGCCCTGCGGCCTTGGCCCCTCAGGCCTCTGGGGCCCGGTCTCTAAGCCCCCGAGCCTTCAGCCCTCCCGGACCCGGACCCTCAGCTCCCGAATCCACAGCCCTCCCGGCCCCGGCCCCTCAGCCCCGAGCCTTCAGCCCTCAACTCTCCCGGGCCCGGCCCTCAGCTCCCGAGTGCCCAGCCCTGCCAGGGCCAGCTCCTCAGCCCTGAGCCTTCAGCCCTCAACTCTCCCGGGCTCGGCCTCTCAGCCCGCAGCCGCGCGGCCCCTCATCCCCGCTACCCCTCAGACTTCAGCCAGGCCTGGCGCCTGGGCCCCGCCACCTCGGCCCCTCAGTCCTTCTGGGCCCGGCCACCCCGCCGTCAGCTCTGGCCCACCCGCGGCACCCACCGAAGGTGCGGCGCTGCTTGAAGGTCTTCTCTGACGGCATGGCGCGGAAGACTGGGCGGGGGTGACGAGGCGGAGGGTCCCAGCTGCTACAGGCGGCGGCCGCGACAGAGGGTCCGACAGTGGCGACAGCGACTTCCCTTGTGTCTCTTCAGCCCACAGCCGCGTCAAATGATCAGCGCACCGCCCCAGGAGGCGGGGCCAAGGGCGAGCCTACGCCGCCGCCATGGCGTGAGTGGCGGAAGCGAGGCCACACGCAGCGCCAGAGGCGGGGTTTGGAGTGGGACGCGTGCGCAGTGGGGAGAGCACCGTGCGCATGTGCGCGGGCCGGCTTATACGCGGGGGTGCGAACCCCGGGGACCCTGCCGCGTGGTGCTGTCCCTTGTAGCCAGCTGCTCTAGTGTTTCCAGTACTCTGTGTTGGTGGCTTGTAATTTTTCTATCTGAAAATAAAGTAGTTTTCTGTGCCTATCTCACGAGTGTCACCTATCTAGGAGCTGCTGGTTATTCCTCAGGTATAAGCTTTTTGTTTGTTTTCGTTGGCTTCAGATCAAACAGATTCAGGTTTTTTTTGTTTTTTGTTTGTTTTAATTTAGGAATCTCTACTGCTAACTTCTGTCACATGCTGTCCGAATTAGGAAAAGAACTTCAACTGTATTATTTCAGGTTATGTTTAATATAATGTATCCTTGGAGAAAGTACGGATAATTGTTTTTGTCTTAAGGCCTTCATAGTGGGTGAATTCCACTTTTGACATGATTTTACGGCCATTAGGTGACTTCTGGATGGCTCCTTGAGCTTTTATGACTTATGTGAACCTGCATGTGACTGTAGTGGGCCTGATCAACATTAATCTGCTGATTTCATTTAACTAGGATTTTCCAGTCTCTGAAATACTAAATCTTATGCATATTCATTCCCTTCAGTCTTTCAACCACTAACTAGCTGAGCAACCTTAAATAAGTGACCATTTTCTGAGTCTCAGACTCATTTGTAAAAAGGCAATGATATTTTAGAATTCCAAGTGTTTTGAGAGGAGCAAATGAAAGTGGCCTGTAGAATCTAGATCACTGTACAGTTAACAGTGCAGTTACTGCCTATCTCAATGTCTGGTGAACAAATGTCTGTAGAACAGCACTTGATTCTTTGGCTATTTTTGCTCTTTATTATCTAATACTTTGAAAGATCACTGTATTTCCAGGCTTCCCCCCTTCTGAATTTGTAAAAACCTTCCTTATACGCCCATTTGATAAAGTAATTGAATTGTGCTAATATACATTATTATACAAACAAAACTTTCTGAGATATGTTTCTCAAAGTGGTTTTAATACAGCTGGGATTTCTTTATAGAGAAGGAAGTAATGTTAGTCATAGGTCTTTATTCTGCCACTGTTTACAAAACAATACTACATTTTTGTTCATGTGTCACTTTCCGTCCCAGGTTTTTTTTCCCCTTCTTTCTGTCAGTTCTTTGAAAATCTGATAGTATACAGTTAATAAAGAGCACTTAGACATTTCTATCTGTTTTCCAAAGTTACAAAGGAAGGTTTTAAACTCCAAGTGTAATACTTTTTCTTGGATTTATTTTATGAAGGTTGAAAAAAAAAATCCAGTAAGTGCTTATTATGCACCTATCCTCTGGTAAACACAAAATTATAGTTTTGAAGTCAAAAGAGAGTGAACTGTATGTTGCCTTTTTCCCTGGATTTTTATGATATTAAGTGCTGGCTGGTGAGTGCTACTTTGGCTTAATTGCTACTTTGTAAGAAATGGACTTTTCATTCTCTAGACGTACTGTTCCAAATGCAAAAGGAAACAAAATCAATTATCTAGCATATGGAGGTGGGGGAGGTGTAGGAGAGTTTCTTATTTCTCTAGTCCCTTAGGCATCCATAAAGCTTTACCAAATTACCCCAGCCCTTGGGTTCACTGCCATAGCCTCAAGGGATTAGCCTCAAGGGCTGTGCTAGTAACATGACAGGATTACTCTGTAATTTTCAAATACTGAAGTCCACATATACAGTGGCTATTATAACCCTACCCCTAACCTTGAATTCTTATTTGAATCTAAAACCACACATCTCTACATGTTTCTTAGAAAATCATCCAATACACGGCATGTAAAGGTGTCTCATAAGCATAATCTCCATTTAAGACCAGCATATTTGGATACATAATATAGTATATGTTAAATGTATTTATATTCATATACCATACATACAAATTAAGAAGTAACTTCATTTAACTTTTGAAAACAAGTGTGTGAGTGAATGTGAAAATTTTCATGTGCCCTTAGATTACAGCTTAATGGAAGTTTCATGTAGTGAACAGTATTTAAAGTGGTAAGTTAATATTATTCATGGATTATTTTAAGCTAGTTAGCATAGTATGATTTTTTACAATAAATAACAAATATTACTGTTCTTTGAAATAATCTTTAAAATAGAAAAGCAAGAACACATCTTTCATTTAAATTTATTTAGTGTTTTCGCCAGGAATCTCACGGTGCTTTCGAACTATCAGGT